CGAGTCCAACGATGGGAGGATTCGGCCAAGGTGTGATCCAAGTGCAGGTACGATATCCGCTCGTGGTTTTTGCAACCAAGGATCGGCGTACGTGTCTATGTAGTTTTTTTTTTACCCAGGGAGCGAAGCGGAGGCTTATCTGTGGCTGTGCGTATTTGAATGGAGCTGCCGTGACGTGATGGGAGTAACCACATGCCTACACCCGTATCGGGCGAAACCGATCTGCCGTGGTGGAAATAAAAATGGGTGAGGTCTCACGGCTTCAGTCGACTTTCCCCTTCCCTTTGTCCGTGCCTCTGTCCTCTCTCGGTTACACTCCCAATGGCCGACTACGACATCGAGAAGAAAGCCAACTCGTCCGGCGACGTGACCTCCCAGGAAGTCCCGCACGATGGCGAGGCGGGGCACATGCACCGTACCCTCAAAGGCCGTCAGGTCTCCATGATTGCCATCGCTGGTACTCTCGGAACTGGATGTGCGTTCTCTCCTTTGTGTTCTGCTCCGGTAACTGATACTCTGTCTAGTGTTCTTGGGTGTACGTACATGCCCCTTCCGCCGGCTGCCCGTGTTGACCCCTGCCTCCTCTAGTCCGGAAAAGCCTTGACTAACGGTGGGCCCGTCGGTGCCTTCTTGGGCTACCTCATCGTCGGCATCCTGGTCGGTTTCATGATGTGCGTTGCGTCGCTTTCGGACATCCACTCCCCCCTAATGCCGCATCCTTAGGTACTCTCTCGGCGAGATGATGGTGTGGGATCCTTCCGCTGGTGGTTTCATCGAGTTCTCGTCGCGCTACGTCGATCCGGCTATGGGTTTCGCTATGGGGTGGCAGTTCTGGTTCCAGGCAGCCATCACCGCACCGAATGAGATCGTCGCCGCCGCCATCGTCATCCAGTTCTGGGACCAGGACACCAAGCACTTGGCGATCTACGTGACTGTCATGCTGCTGTTTATCTTTGGCGTTAATCTGGGTGGTGTCAAGTACTTTGGTGAATTCGAATTCGGTCCGTGATCCTTCCTGTTCCCTGTGCTCTCATGCTCATCTTTTCGCAGTCTTCGCTTTCATCAAAATCATCACCGTCATCGGGCTCATCATCATGGCTCTCGTTGTCGACCTCGGTGGAGGCCCCGACCACGATCGTCGTGGATTCCGCTACTGGCGCGATGAGCCTTTCAACAACAACTTCTTCTCAGTTGTTCCCGCCTCTAAGGCCCGTTTCCTCGGTTTCTGGGCCGTTCTGACCCAGGCGGCCTTCTCTTGTGCGTCAAATGCATTCTGTACTCGGCCCTGCTTCTTACTGATTATCATCTAGACGGTGGAATGGAGGGACTGGCCATGATCTGTCTCGAGGCCGCCAACCCCCGTGTTTCGATGAAGACTGCTGTCCGCGCCATCTTCTACCGTATCGTCGGCCTCTGTGCGTTGTGTGATAATTCGTTGCTGCGTTCCTTAACTGACCGACTGGGTTCATAGACTGCTGCGCCGTCCTGCTCGTCGGCATGTGCATCAGTCAGACCCAGCCGGATCTGCTGCAGGCCAACGCTGAGGGCTCCGGAACCGCTGCCGAGTCTCCTTTCGTCATCATTATCAGGGTGGCTGGCATCAAGGTCCTCCCTCACATCATCAACGCGGTCGTCCTGACCTCTGCCTTCTCGTCCGGAAACGAGTTCCTGTACTCGTCTTCTCGCTCGCTTTTCATGCTTGCTCAGGAAGGCAAGGCTCCCCGCATTTTTGCCAAGGTCCTGAAGAACGGTGTCCCCATCTACGCCCTTGCCTTCTCCGCGCTGTTCGCCCTGCTTGGCTACCTAGCCTGCGGTCAGTCCGGTGCCAACCAGGCGTTCAACTGGCTCTCGAACATCACTACCCTCGGGTCGCTGATCACATGGATGGGTGTCTGTCTGTCGCACATCCGGTGGTACCGCGCCATGAAGGTGCAGGGCCTGAGCCGGGACGAGCTGCCGTTCCGTTCGTGGACGCAGCCCTACGCAGCGTGGATCGCCCTGATCTGCTTTGCGACCATCTCTTTCTTCAATGGTTTCGAAGCCTTCATGGTCTCTCCCTTCGACTACAAGTCGTTCATCTCCAACTACATCAACATCCCCGGGTTCATCATCCTCTACTTCGGCTACAAGTTCGTCAAGAAGTCGAAGATCGTGTCCCTGGCTGAGATGGACTGCTCGACACATTACGTCGAGGACAGCGTTGTGGTGCGTTTGCTCACTTGTCATTACGCCCGGATCTGTTGGCTGACTTTCTGATTACAGTACTCCAAGTACTAGACTGTTGTTGTAGTGTATGTTCTCATGATACTGGGAGGGTTCGGTCGGTCACCTGGGAATGGTGGAGCCGATCTAATGGGTAAAACTACCATGACGACCTTATGAGTTGGTTCTGGCCAATTTTGTATTGTAAACCGCAACGCACGTAATTTATTTATCCATTTCTGCGCTGGATTTTTCGTGTGGTAAGCATCTGGTGGGCACAAGCATCTGTCTGTGACGAACCCTCATGACACTCGATGATCCCATTCTTTCCTGACGTGCAAGTTCCGGACAGGGTGTGAAGAGGCGGCTGGGCTCTGCCTTGAGCACATGTGTTGCCGGTCGGAGGTTAGATCGAACCGATCAAGGGACGCACTCCAGGTCGAAACTTGGGTTGTCTCCCGGGTCTAGGTGCTGGCGAAACTTGTCGCCCACGAGGCAGACCTTGGTATCTTTGGTCGAGTACTTCCTCATCGACCTGACCTCGAGGCTCGACAGCTCTGCGATCTTTTAGTGTGGCCACCGCGTGGGATCATCGGAAGATCTTGGAGGGACAATGCAATGTAACGCTCAAAACTGTTGCCTTCCCGTTATCGCAGAGCTATATCAATCTTGGAGCTTGTAATCTACGGTGAGGCAGCCACATGGGAAGAGCTTAGAGCATGCTACTGCACTTGGCACGGACCCTGCTTGCGGCCCTGTTAGACCATCTATCCTGATCCCAATCTAATCTATGGTAATCTAATCTTTTATTCAGTCAGCCCTGGGTAGAAAGACATCTCGGCCAGAACATGGCGCCGTTGGTGCATCTGGAAAATAGTACGATCGGGGGCTCCGCGCAGTTTTCGATTCTCCGGAGCAGCCAGAAAGAGTCCAAAAGAGTCCTCGATCTCTTCCTTGTGCCCTTCACGAGACCTACCGGACACTTCGACCGAGTTCCATAAACGCATGCCAAGTCCATCAATGCCATTTCAGTTCTCTTAGAGCTGCACCGCACAGGTAACCTAGAGCAGGTCAGCACAGACCCGGGGCCCTGGGCCGAAAAATCCAGGGTTGGCCTCGTTTGTCGCAAGGTGGCGAGCCCTGCAGCCCTCCTCCATGCCCTGATTTCATCCACATCTTCTGCACGCCGCGGGGGATCGCTGCGGCGAGCATCTGTTGCGGAACTCTATCAGTCGAGTGAGGCGCGTAGACGTATTGTCGAACAGCTGCAAGTCTTCGTCACGGGGGGAGGACGGTTTCTCGAGCGTCTGCAGGGCCGCCGCTGCCTCTAACAGCATCCACAGCTGACGACACAAAGGGATTTTGAGCACAGGATACAGTTGTCCGGAAGGGAATTTCCCAGAAACTTCGTGACGATCCGAGTCGCTACAAGCTAGGGAAGGGTGCATTTGTGCATCACCAAACACTTTCCTCGATACCGCCGAGCGATCGCTATTCTTCCTGCAGCCCGCAACGGATGGGAGAGGTTCAATCGAATGAGCAGACCAGTGCGTGGGGATCCCGAATAGGACCAGCGTCTTTCCATCCTTGGTCTCGTTACTAGGGTAGTCGGCCCTGGCGCTGATGGGACGAGATCTCCCGCCATGCGCTGTGCTCATCTGCCAGTTTTCGCAGCCGCATCAGACAGCAATAACTGGCCATGCCGGGGGAGGAAGATGATGAGATCATGATCAGTGCATCAGAGCGATGAGCTGATGCGCAACGAGCCGATCACTCCAAGGTACAGCCCGCTGATGCGCCGTTGAAGCTGAGCGGGCGGCGGACGGCCGCAAGACTTATCAAAGTGAGCAGTGGGGAGGAGACGGCGATTTACACGCAGTGGGTGGGCACATCTGTCACGCCACAATCCCGAGGGTTCCGTGATAATTTACACAAATTGAGGATTAACAAAACAGTACAGCGAGAATGCCCAGCAATCTCAGGCTACCGCTCATGCAGGATGAAGTACACAGCAAGGACGAGTAAGACAAGAACAGCACACCAGCTCCCGGTCTGCAGTCGCCGCTCGAACACGGTCGGGTTGTACGCCGCACGCGGGGGGTGTCCAGGCCCGTGGCGCCCGCCGCCGTTGAGGCCTGTCGAGAACCTGTCACCGCCACCGCCACCCTTTTCGCTGTTCGCCTTGGTCTTCGGAGGCGAGACGAGGGCGACGGTCTCTGTCTCTTCCTCATCCGGATCCGGGTACGTGTGCGCGTGGACAGGGAGCTGATCGGTGTCTTCGAAACGAACCTTGTTGGGGCGGGAGGAGAGTGACATCGACCGGCTCTTCGGGATCCAGGAGCGCAGGGCTGAGCGGCCCGGTCGTCGGTTCGGTGTGACGGTGTCCACTTCGGGCGCTGCGTCCTTCTCTCGCACCAGAGCGTCGTCTGTGTCCTGGGGCCCCCTTTCGAGGTCTGAGAAAGTGCTGGAGTACGATGGACTGGCCGATAGCATTGCCTCGTCCGGATTCGCGCTTGTGTCGAGATAACAGGGTGCGCCGTCGGGATGGATCACGAGCGAGGACGAGGAGGGCAGAGACATGGTGATGGGTGAAAGAAGAGCAGGGCTGCCGGACAGCGGCGGCTGCATTGATTAAATGCATTTCGGAGGGAGAGAGGAGGGGTGGCGTCGGAACAGTGAGACCTTCCTTTGTGATCGCTATGAGGAATGGTGCCTCCCTCTTATAGATATGTTAACCGTCCTAAGAAAGGGAGATTGAATCGATCATCTGCGAAAGTAGAAACACGAATCAAAGGATACATGCTTAGAGACTCGGACATCATTGATGAGAAGTAGGAGAGCACTGAGCATACAGGACTGGAAGTCGGAGGAGTGCACCCCAGGGACCTCCAATTATTACGTAAAATGGCTTCGAGGCCCCCTCTGGAGGCCATCAAACCACCCCCTACCCCCCCTGATCGGAGGCCATCCTGGAGGCGCCTTCCTAATTGGGACGCTGCCTGGCCATTTGTCCACCGCTTGCATGGTATGCTAGGGATCGGCCTGAGTGCTGATATATGCTGTAGTAGTCATTATAAAGCCTCAGACAATGTCTGACCTCTCAAAAGCATGTATTTCTTGCTTGCAAATGGCAGACCACTGGGTGCACACAATTTGGGATCTGAGTACGTGAGCACTCCTCAGGTGCATAGAGCAACAGTCTATGTATTAATTCGAGATTGAGCATGAGGTAGCTGTGCCCACACGCAAAAATGAGATGTTGCTGAAGGGATGGTTTATGGCCTCCACGACCTCCCAGGTGCAGAAAAAAAGGTGTTGGGTAGCCCACAGGCCCTTGAATTCCACTTCAATAGAACAATTTGATGCTTATGCTTTGTCAAAACAACAGCTCAGCGTATAAATTGGATGTTGGAGCAGTGACAGAACAAGCCTCCACCGCCTCCAGGGCTGGGGATCAAAAGCGGTTACTGTAGATTCAGCCACACAAACTGTGTTCATGACATTATTTATCTTCATTGAGATGCACAGGATCCTTTAGAGCGATAGCTCAACATGTGAATTGGATGCTAGAGCAGATTACAGAAAAGCTCTCCACAGCCTCCACAGCCGGGGACTAAAAGCAGTTTCTTTGGATTTAGCAGCAGAAACTATGTGTTCAATGTCAGGTGTCTTATTTGAATGCCAAGGGTCCTCTATGGAGACAGCTCAGCATATGAATCAGATGCTGGAGCAAATGGCAGAACTGGCCTCCACCGCCTCCACAGGTTATTACTTGAAGAGTTGGGATGAGATGACAATGTAACAGACAGATATTCTCCTCGCTGACCACATTCTGTCATTTCCACCTCTAAATGCAAGTTGAATTGCTGCAGAATGTTAAAATGAGAGAACGGGGGACCCTGGAGGCGCTGGAGGCACATGCAAGATCCAATCATTATCATCAATATCATCAATGCCATCAATAGCATCAATAGCATCACCAATCATTGGTAGATTGATCAGCCAATCAGATGATGAATAAACATCGAACATCTAGTATATTCATTCCTGAGAGACACAGACTATCTGTATGCTCATACTGAAAGTGGATTAGTGGTCCCAGGACATGCCCCAATGACATATTACATCCTTGTCTCAAGAACATATGATTAAAAATCGGATTTGGCAAATGAGCTGAAAGTACTCCACTGTACCACTCATCTTCAGTTGACTTTCAGTTCATTTGCAAACTCCGAATTTCAATGATATGTTCTTGAGACAAGGATGTAATATGTCATTGGGGCATGTCCTGGGACCACTAATCCACTTTCAGTATGAGCATACAGATAGTCTGTGTCTCTCAGGAATGAATATACTAGATGTTCGATGTTTATTCATCATCTGATTGGCTGATCAATCTACCAATGATTGGTGATGCTATTGATGCTATTGATGGCATTGATGATATTGATGATAATGATTGGATCTTGCATGTGCCTCCAGCGCCTCCAGGGTCCCCCGTTCTCTCATTTTAACATTCTGCAGCAATTCAACTTGCATTTAGAGGTGGAAATGACAGAATGTGGTCAGCGAGGAGAATATCTGTCTGTTACATTGTCATCTCATCCCAACTCTTCAAGTAATAACCTGTGGAGGCGGTGGAGGCCAGTTCTGCCATTTGCTCCAGCATCTGATTCATATGCTGAGCTGTCTCCATAGAGGACCCTTGGCATTCAAATAAGACACCTGACATTGAACACATAGTTTCTGCTGCTAAATCCAAAGAAACTGCTTTTAGTCCCCGGCTGTGGAGGCTGTGGAGAGCTTTTCTGTAATCTGCTCTAGCATCCAATTCACATGTTGAGCTATCGCTCTAAAGGATCCTGTGCATCTCAATGAAGATAAATAATGTCATGAACACAGTTTGTGTGGCTGAATCTACAGTAACCGCTTTTGATCCCCAGCCCTGGAGGCGGTGGAGGCTTGTTCTGTCACTGCTCCAACATCCAATTTATACGCTGAGCTGTTGTTTTGACAAAGCATAAGCATCAAATTGTTCTATTGAAGTGGAATTCAAGGGCCTGTGGGCTACCCAACACCTTTTTTTCTGCACCTGGGAGGTCGTGGAGGCCATAAACCATCCCTTCAGCAACATCTCATTTTTGCGTGTGGGCACAGCTACCTCATGCTCAATCTCGAATTAATACATAGACTGTTGCTCTATGCACCTGAGGAGTGCTCACGTACTCAGATCCCAAATTGTGTGCACCCAGTGGTCTGCCATTTGCAAGCAAGAAATACATGCTTTTGAGAGGTCAGACATTGTCTGAGGCTTTATAATGACTACTACAGCATATATCAGCACTCAGGCCGATCCCTAGCATACCATGCAAGCGGTGGACAAATGGCCAGGCAGCGTCCCAATTAGGAAGGCGCCTCCAGGATGGCCTCCGATCAGGGGGGGTAGGGGGTGGTTTGATGGCCTCCGGAGGGGGCCTCGAAGCCATTTTACGTAATAATTGGAGGTCCCTGGGGTGGAGGAGTGATAAGGAGTGATACCTTGAGTGACATTGATTGTGACAGGTGTGTGTCCGTGACCGCACTCCTCTTGTGATCAGTCGCGTCCGGTCCGGGTATGCGGGGGGGGGGGGGGGGGGGCAGGCCTCAGGCGTGCAATTTCCGTGATACATCCCAAGCTAGCAGGAGTTCCGCCGCCCTCACCGAGAGCACGCACCACTTACTGACAAGTAGCGGAGCAGGGTCTGAACCGCGTCTGGTCGTTTAGTCTTCGAGCCTAGTTGTGCTCTCGCTTCGTTGACGATGGAATGGCGAAGCGAACACCGTTTATGTCTTTCTGAGACTAGTCAGGCCCGGGCCGCGGTGAGTGACAATCGCTTTCTCGTGTGTCAGCACCCGCCGAAAGCGATACCGCAGCCGAGTCTCCGCTCGATGCTCCGGCCGTCCCAGGCCGTCAACGGGTAAGTTGCGCCCATCCTCCTGCCCGTGGACATATCGTCCCCGATCTCCACAGCACAATCTCCTCCATGCGCACTCGGTATCGCGCGTCGTCGGAAGCGTGGAACATGAGGCGAAGGATAACGACTTCGAGTGTGCGGAAGTCTATCTTGGGATCCGTCGCGACGAGACATCTCCTCCTCGGAGACATTCAGCCGATTTTCATATTGTTCATATTGTCGATACAGTGGTTCGTTTGTGCCGCCTGCAACGCTGCACGCGATCCTTTCCAGCTCTAGCCAAGTCCTGTCTGATCATCCAACCTCGTCAAGAGACGGCGCTGGCTTACTCGTATCACGGAACACCGAATTCAGGGCGTCCCTTTCTTGTCCCATCCGTTCTGTGTTCCGTAAACGATTGTGGTCATCTTCGCGACAAACTGTATTGCCTCTCGGATGGAACCCGTGGTCTATCTATTGCATCCTCTGCGGGGTTCCGTCTGGTGGGATTGGCGCTTTTGTGTGTGTCTATTGGCAGGATGTTGTTCTTTGCCTGGCACGCCCTCGGACTCGGAGTCGTCCACCCCGGCGCACTCTGACAGGGTGCACTCTAAGGGCTGGAGATATCGAATGCTGGACAGGGCGAACTGGAAACGGGACTGTCCACTTCATCGGACGTGTCTCTGTTCTGCGATTGCCAGATCATGATCACTCACAGGCGGTTCCACCTGACCATCTCAGTTGACGCCAGCGACATCGGAGGGCTGCAGCTTGTTCTTTGTTCCAGGATTCTTGGGCTCGGGTGGCCGTCTCCGGTTCTCTCCCGTTTCATTTCGAAAACTCGCACTCCACTAGCCGCATTGGCATGCCTGATCGTTTGTCCGGGCTCTTCCCTGGTCCAGAAGACTTGTATCCCCTTGAAACCGTGGATTCTTTGACTGGGATCGGAACGTGTTCCCAGCTGCTCTACTCTCGCGCAATGGCCAAACCGCGCCTGAACGGCGTATGAACAGCTCGAATGGCGCCTGTCAACGCTCCCTTCTGCCCTGGCTGCTCGTTTTACGGATCCCAGGAGGCGATTCTGTGGCATAACTCTATGTAATCTGTCAACTTCGCGTTCCTGTCTCCCGTTCACCCCGCACTTGGAGAGATGGCTGATGATAACCCTGGATCTCGCTGACGGAGCGCCGACAGCTGATCTCGTCTCTCCCATGAGAGCGACCCTCCAATCTGCAAAATACACACCCTCTGGACTTGGCTTTCTGTTCCTGGCACACCGACATTCCAGCTTTCATTGATGCCGTGGTCGGCTGATGCACTGGAACCGCGGGACAACGCACGAGACTGGCCAGTCCCTAGCATAGCTCCGTATAGAAAAACGAGTGCAAAACTCTACGAACAGCAATGACTGTCGAGTGCTGCAAAGGGCTCTCGGATCCTGGATCTGCGTGAGATCAATCGCCTCGCTTTGCAGACTGACGAAGGTGTCTGTGAGGTGAAGATGAGGCACACCGTTATTTGAGAAGGCTCTGTGAACGATGGATGAACGTTGTACCTATCTGCGCGTGATCCGATGCGATTCAAGTTCCAGACTACACGGTCGCGAGTATCGCCGCGCAGTAATCACCGCAAAAGTATGATACGTTCACCCAGTTATGTATCCGGAAATGAGAAGGAAATCGGGTTTTCGGCCTCGGGTTGGTCATGTGTGTGGCCTTTCCGTCTGGCTATGTCATCCCTCCAATTGAATCGCGGTCCCATGAAGCCGTTCGTGGGCGTCCATCATCCGTTATCGAAATTCTAGTTATGTGATGGTCCCGGCACCGCCACTGTATCACTATCAGTCAACCTTTGCCTCACTGCGACCATCGGCTAGGAACAGGGATCGACGATGGGTGGTATATTGCGCTACGGGAGCATACTTCCAAATGCGCGCTTTGACACCTCGCGCGCATTTCACGAGCCTCGCTTGTCCGATTTCGACCACGTACTACATAAAAAAAGCATGTCAGTCGTATCCGTGTCGCTTTCGGCCACGCGCCACGCACCCGGGCCCACGCCCCCAACGTAACCGCGACTATCCCAAATCCATCCCTGGTCAGCTGCCCCGGGTCGCTTGACATGGGAGATGGGCGGCTATGTTTTAAAACGGGAATTGACGCAGGGGTGTGAATCCGAGGCCCAGTCCCAATCCCAGGTCCAATCCCTGTCCACGTTCGTTCAGCGGTCCCCCTCCGATCCCGATCCCGACTCAGAGACATGGACAACGAGAAATCGGACGGCGCCAGCGCGAGCCACGTCGAGGACCACTCGCAGCAGCTGAGCGACGGCGTGTACCACCAGAGCCGGCTCGGCCCCAAGGCGACGCGGAAGCACTTTTTCTCGCCGCTCGACCGCTCGTACGCCGAGGCCGTCAACCTGGACGCGGAGGGCGTCGAGTTCGATCAGGCTGAGGAGGTGCTCCTGGTTTTGCTGCTGTTACGCGTTCGGCGCGGTACTGAGTGATCTACCCGCAGCGACGCGTCCGGCGCAAGATCGACCGTGTCGTGTTGCCTCTGATTGTGGCCAGGTACGATATGATGCTTTTGTTTGGATTGCACGCTCATGTCCCCTTGTAGTTACATATGTGCGTGCTCCTCGGTCTTTCTGGACTCGTTGATTGAGCCCGTGCAGTCAACCAATTCGGTGAGTGGTCCTGCTCGGCGGGACGTCCTATAGCTCATCGGCCTCCTAGACCGCACCAACATGTGAGATCTGTGATCCTTGCAGGCGTTTTGGCATTGACCATATCAGCGGAAACGCTCATACGTTGACCGCTTTCAACAAGAACTTTGTAAGCCGGCTGCATGTTGACGGGGAGATCTGCTGAACAGCCTCCAGGGAATGTGCGATGATTGGTGATGACTGCATCGCACCCTCTGATAGGCTGCAGTACGAACAACAACAAGTGGACGCTCGCGCTCAGCATCTTCTACGTCGGATACTGTCAGCCGATCCCTGCTCTGACTTGGCTTGACTCTGACCAACCCATAGGCCTCCTCGAGATCCCCGCGAACATTCTCCAGCGATACATCGGGGCCAATCGGTTGTGAGCATCCCTCAAGCCCACTCACGTGTCCGAGTCATGAGCCGTGACCTCGAGCGCAGCTTCTTCCTCGCGCTCAACTTCTGGGGCATCGCGTCGCTTTCGGTCGTTTATGCCAAGGGGTACGCCGGACTCCTTGTGCTTCGGTATGTGCTTACCCGTGAGGATCGAGCTGGTGGCTGATTCGTCCGAAGGGTGCTCATGGGCATCGGAGAGGTACGTCTGTCATTGGCATGTGTTGGGGGCTGGGACTCATCCGCGAACTCATCAGGCGGGATACTACGTGTGTTTGACCGGCCATCGGTCAACCTGGATCTGATTCCGTTCGCCAGGCTGGGATGATCTACTACTTGTCTTTCTGGTACAAGAAGTGAGCATGGCCTTGCTTGATCTCGAGTGCCGTCTGATACTTGAAAGGCACGAGCTTGCTATGCGCATCAGTCTCTGCATGACCGGCACACTTCCCGGGGCCATTGGTGTAAGGAGCCACTGCCGCATTGACCATCTATCTAAAACAGCAGCACTGCAGGGTCTGCTCGCATTTGGTCTCGTGCGTGCCAAGACATCGTTGTTGGAGGGCTGGCAATTCTTGTTCTTGGTGCGTCAACTCCATCGGCGTCCGCGTGATCCGTGGGCTGAATGACATCTAGATCGAGGCTATACCCACCGTACGAACTACGAAACACACGCCCGACTCGCAACACCGCGCTCATCCCCGTTCCAGATCATCATGGCCTTCTCGATCCTTCTGTTTCTGCCGTCGTTCCCCTTCTCGGCGTCATTCTTGACCCCGCGCGAGCGTGCGATTGCGCAGGCGCGGCTGAACCGGGACCACAAGCCCCAATCGCACGGGGGGATGACGGGCGTGGAGGGGCTCAAGGTGATCATGGCCGACCCCAACGCGTGGCTGTTCGTGCTGATCTATGCGAGCTGTGGGTGTGTGTCTGCGGGTGCGAAGCGTGTGGCTGATGTACGCTTGCAGTCAACGTGGGCGTGGCGACTGTTTCGTACTTTTTGCCCACGGTGAGGACCGATGCTGACCCATGGCGGGTGTGGTTCCTGATTGTCCTTTTCACCAGCTCATCAAGAATCTCGGCTTCACCGCTATCAACGCCCAAGGGCTCACTGTCGCGCCGTACGCCGTGGGCTGGCTGATGGTCGTCTTCCAAGCATGGCACAGCGACCGGACCCAGTGCGTTCCCTCGATGTAACTCGAAAACTCTGATGCCGAGTTTGTTTTTGCAGCGAGCGCGGGTACCACATCATGGTCAGTTGCGCGGTGTCGTTCATCGGCTACGTCATCCTGGCGGGTGTGATGAAGAAGAGCATCGGCGCGGCCTACTTTGCGTTGTTCCTCGTCGTCGGCGCGAACTACAGTCTCTTCCCGCTCGTCATGTGCGTCCGTTTCGGGTCTGTGGGCTGTGGCGGGTATTGAATAATCAATTGCCTGCAGGAGCTGGGCTGCGAACGTATTCTCGCCGACATCTAAACGGGGCGTCGGCACCGCGTTCATCGTGTCGGTCTCCAACTGTGTTTCGATGTGAGTGGCGCATCCTCGCTCTGTGTAATCTTCCGGCTTTGGAACTGACTGCCGCCGACTATAGAGCGTCGCCGCAGATCTACTTTGACCCGGAGGACTCGTTCCGCAAAGGGTAAGCGCGGCCTGTCTTGTTATCAGGTGACAAACCACACATACACACACACAGGCACGCAATTTCTGCTGGGATGCTGGCACTGGCGTTCCTCGCGACGTTGATCCTGCGCACGCGCCTCTCGGCGCTCAACAAGCGGAACCGGGCGGTGCAGGCTGGAGCCGAGGCGAAGCAGGAACGGGGTGTGGACGAGGAGATCTGGGACACGGATCCCCGGTATGTCTTTATGACTTGAGCTGTCCGCCGGGGCCGTGTGTCTGTCTTTGTGCGATTGTACTTGTACTTGTATGCTTGCTGTATGTGTGCTGGTTATGAATGTAAGTTTTCGTGACTCTCTCGCAGAGAAAGACGGAGATGGCGACGGACCCTCGCGGCCGGGTATTCGTGTTAGCCGGAGCTGATTCTGGGCGCCAGCCGGTCAGTCCAGGCAGCCGACGCTCACGATGGGTGCATGTGTACTCCCTTGTGGCCTCGCCTGATCTGATCCCGACTGGTGGTACGCGCCGTACAGCCACTGCTGGAATGACAGCTGCTGTCCACAAGATCTGTCAAACGCCCATCAGCACGCCGCGTCTTCTCGTCCTCCACCTGCGCGCGTTGGGCCTCTCCGACCCGGCAGGCACGCAGAGAGAGAGAGAGAGCATGGGTACTGTGATCCGTGGATGCGTGCGCTCCCACTCACAACACGCGTCTCTGATTTCTTGGATGCCGGCCTAGGAACTTGCTCATGGTGTGTGTGTCGACACCCCGGATGACGGAGACGGCCAGGCGGCGAGATCGTCCACTGGGCGACCCGCATCAAGGCGGTGACAGTGACGGTGGCCTGGTCCGCCGCGTGCTTCCAAATATTGCGAGAAGGTGGCCTGGAGGCCGGGGCTCCGCGGTCGCTTCTTTCCTCCTCCTCCTCCTCCTCCACCCACCCTTCACTCGCCCCGATGCACCGCTGGCTGTGCATCCCGGCACTTTCACTGTCGTTACTGGTTTCGTTCGCTTATGCCAGTGCCGCTGATGCGTCTTTCACCGTCGACGACTTGTGCGTCGCGGCGCGTCGCGCGCCCTGTTCTTCGCCGTGAACCGTGGACTGAACTGATCGCAGCGCAAACCCGGCGCTGACGTGCCAGGATTTCCCGATTGGATGGCAGGGGGGAATCGGTGCGCGCGCTGCATCCCTTGTTTCGCCTCGTAATGCTCACCCGCATCCCCGCACGCAGCGCCGTGGACATTGGTACGCATGATTTCCGCATCCTTCCATCCGTCGCTGCCGCATGCGGCTCATGTCCTGCACAGAGGTAATTGTGCACAGGCCATTGAAGCGTCGATCGATTGTCCTAACGGAACGCCAGCATCCAGGCAGCGAACGATTCGCAGGTGGCCGCCGACCTCGGCTCCTCCTCCAACGAGACGTCCTTCGACTGGACTGTCAATGTCGAAGCAGGTCGGCGGTTTCTTCGTACCGGTTCGCTCGGATCTGAAGGGCAGCGCTGCAGGTACCACGGTGATCGTGCAAGTGCAGGACGCGACGGGCGCCGCGGCTCTGTCGCAGCCGGTCACGATCGGCGCTGGGTGTGCGTCACATGATCTCGTTTCGGTCCTTGCGCGAATGGCTCGCTGATTTGGCGCGCTTTCCTAGCCGAGGATTGTACTTTGGGGAACCTGGGCGGGAGTTTGAGTCTGCCGTCGAGTGCGACTACGGTTGTGGATGTGACTTCCAGCCCGGCTCAGACCCAGGCGACCTCCGTGACCGCCGCCGCCCCGGCCAGCGCTAACGCACCGCAGACTACCACCAGTCTGCTCTCGACCAGCGCGATTGCTGCTGCTACTACTGCTACTAATGCCGCTGCCGGTGCTGCTAATACAGTGCCTGCTGTCACGTCGACCGCAGCGACGGCCGACGCCGTCATCAGCGTGTCCTCTGCCCCCGCCGGCAGCCCCAACCCGCCGCCGAACCCCAACGCCGCCGCCGGCACCGCCAGCCCAAAGTATGTGCCGTGTATCCATCCTCTTCTATGATCTGGCTAACAGCGCGGCTACCTGCAGCACCGCCGCGCAGGGGGCTCCGGCCACCGCCGGGAACGCGTCCCCGACCAGCGTCCTCGGACGGCCCACGGAGGCGACGACGAACGCTCCGCCGCCGGGAGCCGCACCCAGGTCCGTGCTTGTTCTTGAGAGCTTTTCCCGCAGACGTGACTGAGTTTGAGTCCCAGCCCCGCCCCCGGCCCCCCAAATTCGACCGCTGGCCGAGCACCCGCGGGGACATTGAGAGCCACCGGTGCGCCCTAGAGCAATTGGGTCAACTGTGATCCCATCGCTAACTGTCCCTGCAGCAGCAGCAGCAGCATCGGGCCGCCCGACTCCCACCGAGTGAGAGCGACCGCCTGTTCCACGAAATCGAGCTAGCTGATTCGAATAACGCACCCGCAGGTCCGTGTCTGGCTCTTCCCCATCTTCAACATCCTCGCCGTCGCCACCGTCGCCGCAACAACCCGAAAAGGCCGCCGCCGCCCCCTCCACGCACCTAGGGCTGATCCTTGGGCTGTTGATCCCAGGCCTCCTCGTGCTGGCGCTGCTCCTCGGCTTCATCCTCGTGCGGCTGAGACGCCAGCGGCAGCGGCGCGCTGCAGACCTCGAGCGCGGGGCGTGGGTGTTCCAGCAGCCGCCGACGGTGATGCAGGAGGTGTGGGTGCAGCGAGACGAGCCGCAGCAGCGGGGATTGTACGAAAACGACGACGAGGACGTCAAGCGCCCCGGGCCCTACTCATACTCGATGTGAGACGGATGGAAAGCGTGAAAGTGAAATCCACTCCATCGATTGATCGGTCTCTATGTACTAGGTACTTGTTGGCACTGTTATTACACATACAAACGAAACGAACACTAAACTAACTACATGGTCATGGTGGGGTATCCCTGGAACTTATACTCGCCCTGCGGCTGCCAGTACGGCTGCTGCGGCTGGCTGTCCCACGCCACTTCGGCGAACGTCGGCGGAGGGGGCGGCGGTGGATATTCGTAGTACGGCTGTTGTTGCTGTTGCTGCTGCTGCTGCTGCTGTTGCTGCTGCTGCTGCTGCTGCTGCTGTTGTTGTTGCTGCTGCGTTGGATACCCGGCAGTGAAAGGCGAGCTGGTTTGTCCATATGGACTGCTCGCGTAGACTTCAGACTCGAACGACCCAGCCCTCGTCTCGTAGACTTCGGGAGACACCGGCGACTCCGTGTGGTACCCCGCCGGCGACTCCGTCGTATACGGCGTTGAATACGCGCTATATTCGGCCGGGGGGTACGCCTCCGCCGGGGCGGCGAAGTAGCCCGGGTCCTGCGGAAGCGGGATCGGGATCGGGATCGGGGACGACTTGCGCGACATCGTCTTGCGCCCCACCACAAGCGGCGACGTCGGCAGCCCCTCTTTGTTCGGCCGCACCCGGATGCCAACACTCGGATAGCTGCGCTTCTTCGCCGTGTCGTCTATCTTCCGCTGTGACGACCCGACTCCTGTCCGCCGCACCAGCGCCTCCCCTATCCGGCCCGCCTCGGTCCGCCCATGCCAGTCCGCGAACCGCACCGAGCTCTGCAGCAGCGTCACCGCCTCGCGCAGCGCCTCCTTGGCCCCGGCCACGAACACCGCGTCTGGCCACGTCTTGATCGCGTATGCGCAGACGACTGCCGCGTCCAGAAGTGTCCGGGCCGGGCTGGTCACCAGCAACGCCAGCGTCGGGCGATACGGCCCCGGCAGCGCAGACAGGGTTCCGCCGAGCTTCACGACGGTGTGTGCAGCATTGACCACGCTGGAAAGGTGCGACGACGGCGTGGAGCGCGCGTGATGGCGCTGTTCCTGGAAGAAACACACAGGCTGAGAGAGTGAACGGTGGAAAGATGAGGGGATTGCACACCTGCTCCGTCCAGACCCAATTGCGCAGCTTGATCCGGGCAGCCATGAACGCCACCTCTGCAGAATGTACGCTGCCGGAAGCCTCTTGCTCCCATTCCGAAAGCTTCTCCTCCGAAGCACCAGAATGCAGCAGCCGCGTGAGTCTGCCAGAGTGTCAAAAATCAACGCTCCTTCGCAACAATCACAGAACGCACCGGAGCCAAGACCCCGCTTTCCTCCCATTTCCTTCACATGTCGAATCAGCGTCACAATCTGACGCAGGGACCCAGTCGAAGCGCATGTCAAGCGGGTCGGGATCACATTTCCAGTCCCGGGTGCCCAACGGAACATTGCCTCCGATACTTAACATGTCGCCGGCCATCCTGTATTGAAAGAGTGAATATGAGACAGAGAGCGCAATTTCCTGAAATAGAAGCTTACATGTCGCCGAAACACAAAGCCCACCAGGTTCTAGCCCTCAGCGCCTGTCGCCAGTCCGAGATAGAGATGGGTTCGTCTTCCGTTTTCAGTTCATGTGTGTCGGGATCCACGATGGGCACATTCGTCAGTTTGGCTGCGTCGCGGTCGAGTCCTGCCATCCGTGCGTATCCGAGCGTTTGGTTGATCTGCAGTCAGTGAGCAGTGTCATCTGCACAGGAATCATGGAAACGCACATGGACATAGCTCCCTTCGTCTGACCGCGCGAATAATCCGACACCGAAAAGCCACATCCCCAACACCGCATCAAGGTCCGGGTCCCCTTCGTCCCAGGGCATCGGCAGCGGGTGCGGCAGTGCCTCGGCGGTGGGACAGAAATACACGCGGGCCGCCGACATCGCGAGCCCAGCGAGCCGCTGCCGCTCGTCGGGGCCAGCGTCGGCAGAAAGCGACAGCACGGCGCACACCAGCGAGAAGAACGCAAGCCGCACGTCGCCGCGCCGACCGCTGCCCTGCGCGTGCTGGCGCTCGGCGGCGCGCTGCTTGCCCTTGTGCGACGGATGGCGCAGGAACACGGCATCGTCGGTGACGTCCTCGTCCATCTCGTCCGACCACGCCTCGTTCGCAAGCATCAGGGCCGCGGAGAGACTCGCGGAGGAGGTGAACGGGCCCTGCTGTCCCCCGGAGAAGATCGCGCGCGCCTTGTCGCGCTTGGCTTCGCGCTGTTTGCGCTTGGCGTCCTTGGCGGACGGCGACGCCGCCGCCGCTGCGGGGGCGTCGAAGCCCGCCGGGTGAGCCGACCGGCCGGCTTGTCCCGCCTCGAGCAGCGCGCCGGTGAAGGCGTACACCCGCGCCTCAAACCAGTCCCACTCGAACAGCGCGCCGACGCCGCCGGCGAGGTCGTTGATCGCGCGCCGGGCGGCCGCCAGGCGCACATGGAGCTCCGACGACGCGGGCATATGCCGCAGCAGGTCGTTGGGGTCGAGTGCCTCTGCGGGGAGGTGCGCCGGGAAAGATGTCTGATGGGGTGGGAAGGACGGCGCGGAGATGTGGAGCGGGCCGAGCCACATGTCGCCCAGCTCCTCCAGCGGTATGCTGAGTGGGGTGGAGGGGTTGGAGCTCGACGACCGGGAGGAGCTCGACTGCATATTGTCGCAACCGGCACCGGTTGCGGCCGCTGCCATCGGGTCGGCGTGATGGCTACCAAGATCGACACCGGCTGCCTTTAATGTGCGTAGCGCCTCCTCGACGGTGAGGAGCCGGTTGTTGAGGGAGTGCAGATCGACCTTTTCGGCAGCGGCTGGGGAGTAGATGCAGCGAGCGACGGTCGCCCGTTTCTCGCACGACGAGCAAGGGGCTTTCCGATCGCACTTGAGTTTCAGCCGTTTGCACTCGGCGCAGACCTTGTGAGGGGGGTGGTGTGGTTAGACACGGGACAGCGCGGGTAGCAGCTGCTGCGACAACGTACCACGGTGATCCTCGAGCGCACTTGCGGGGGCCCACCTTTGCGTGCCTCAGCGGTGATCCCATTCCCGCTGCCCCCACTTCCGCTGCTGCCGCCCGCGCTCGCGAGTCGGCCAGCGTCGTCATTAATTGCGTTCAGGAGCGAGCTTGCGGTCGTAACCGAAGAATCCCCGCCATTATTGCCGCTATCAAGTACCCTTGAAAGTTAAAATGCTTCAGCGCCGTGGGAAACATGCATCAGAAGGGCGGACTTGCATGTCCTGTTCCATAGCAATGAAACTCGTCGAGGGCATCGCGCGCGAGAGCCGGGGCTGCGACTCTGCAGAAGGAGCGACCAAGAAGTTGGAGGTTGGAAGGGGAAAGCAAGTGCTTGAAACCCCGATCGGTGGCAGTATCTTCCCTGACGCGCCGATTGTCTGGAACCGGCCCGGCATCCATTGGTCAGAGATCCTCAGATCCATTTGTTCGAGAACTGGTTTGGCTAGCGTGGGAGGCTTGGCGGAAGCCCGAGTTTTGTGTGTTATGGCGTCTGAATCTTCAGCCTGCGGGAAGGAAAGACATGGGTGGTTGGTCACTTCTTTGCCCCAGGCACCCTCCAGGGGCCGTCCAATAATTGTACTGTATGTGGATTTCAATTCTGTCTCAATGGAAGCTGCCGGCTCAACTGTATACGCAGCGTGCTTCCCCGAGAGTCGCTGACGGCGAGTGACGCTGGGGCGCCTGAATCCTTGTCCAGCCTAGTGGCTTCACGTCACCGCAATGGGCCCCTCTGGAATGAAAGCTGTTCACTTCCATCACGGGATCTATAAATGACATAAGAGCGGGCTGTCGCTGTAACTGGATGAGCCACCAGCGTCGATCCGTGTCGTAACGCATGTTCTTGCAGCTGTCCTTGCTCTGCAGTGTTCCCGTTCCTTCAATCGGGTGCATTAATATTCGGAGCCTCGAAAGTCATGCCAGGCAAGAATTGAACTGCCGTGCACGTGATATCACAACTGGAACGGGTCATTCCCTAATCTTCCTCGTCGCTTCCAAAATACATAGTATCTGTGTTGCCGCCGCGGAGGTGCAAGATCAGAGTCCAGAGAGCCACGAGAAACCCACGAGCTTCGGGCTGCTTCGCACAGGTCATGATAACCCGCGGAGAACATGTCAGATATCGACGTACTTCTCAGACTATCTCATGACTTGACCCCCATTTCGGGACCAGGTCGGTCAAGATATCAGTCATAGATGTGTTACGGCTTTGAATCAATTTTTGGCAGAATCGATCCGCGACGCACCTGATTCTTCCATATGTTCGCCAGACTTTGAATCGGCAAGTTCTAACCGCACTCCCATCATGGGGATTACAGCACTCCAAAAGACACAGGCGAGGACGCCGCCCGGTGCAGCGCTCGCCGAGTGCGCGCGTACTGGTAAGCGCTGCACCGGGCCTTCGATATGCCCCCAGATCACGCTCGGCAGCATGGGCGTCGTGATGGCCGACCACGACAAACAATCGAAGCCGGTAGACATCGACTGACTGGGATTCTCGATTCTTACAACATATGTGCATGTAAATATCCGGCACGTCCAGTAATAATAGCGTCGTTGCCAATTCAACAACGGGCGGTTGGGATTAGATCGGAGCTGTGTACATCTGTTTACATGGAGTCAACAGCTCTCGACCCATCTGAGATGGGCAGTAGTGGTGGCCTACGCGAGGCAGTTTCCGGACAGTTCGACCGACTGCGCCCACGCGAGTGGACGTTCTGAGGTGACACATTGAATCAAGGCACGCTACGTTCGCTGCCCACCGACTGATGGATCCAGAGATCATCCTCAAAGCGTCGCCTCACGAGCAGACGACGTCCAAACTGTTCACACATACCTATGCGAGTCTGCACAGTATCGGGTCAGAGAAGCCCATTGCGTAACCCGGCTGATTCCGATCCTCAGCAGGCCTAGCCAGTCCTGGCCAAGTCCCAGAACACGGGCTGCACGCGATCGGTATCAAGGAACGGGCGAGTCCCAACTCGTCATTCTCTGAGCGGCCAGCAGGCCCGCAACACAACACAGACCCATAGATCCTTGACGTGTCCAGGGTAGCGGGCAGCCTGCAGCCCATCCCATCCAGGTCCCCCCATTCCATCTGGCGCACACGACAGGGTTCGCATCTTGGCTGTAGGTACATGTGACACTCGACGCCGGTAAGCACACAGCCGCCCCTCCCATGACAAGTGGCGCGCACCGCGGTGTCTCCCGGACGCGGGCGCCGCGGGTGGCGACGCCTGGCTGTCTGAAACATACGACGCATATGTGCAAGTATGTTGTGGCAGAAGCACCGGGTGCAATCCGGGCGAGGGGACCGAGTGCGTATCTAGGGGACACTAAGAAGTGGACAGCGACGGGGAGAGGGTCGATCGACGAAGTGTTTCGCCACCCTATGGGTCCTTGATTTGATGAATGGAGCTGATAAGTCGAGCGTCGGACCGTCGGTCAAGTCGACCTGCATCCTAGAGGCGTGTGTACAAAAGATAGGAATAGATAACCAACAATGATGTAATCAATAATCCATTGTAAATACAGGAACACAAACCCGGACTTTACAAATAAGCATGTCCGGGTTGGAGATTGGCCGCATTGGGCGGCGGGAACCTGAAAGCCATCTGCCCCATCGATTCGAGTGCTGGATTCGACTTCATAGTCATGGGCGACGGCGCCAGGACTGCCGAATCAGGAAAATTCTCGTCCCTGGACTCCGAGGCAGCGTCCGTGTCAGTGACGATGGGAGGCACGAAAGGTCCATTAGGCCGGTACGCAATCGATGGCGCATGGAATTCCGTCGAATAAATAGACGCCGGGCTGGGGTATTCGTGCGCAGATGCGCGAGAGAATGAACCGCTGTTGGCCGTCGTGACCCTGATCGCCGGCACTCGCTTCGGCCGATACACGTTCCCAGAGTGCTGCGTGTCGAAGGAAACGGGAGGTGGGAGCCCGGGTGCAAGGTTCATGCTGAGTGTCTGGGCATTGCCGTGGTAAGCAGGCTGCATAAACCAAGTCGGCGTTCTACCCGGGCCTGCATGATGACCGGTATCAGCCACAAGATTGCGGAGCGAGGCAGGGAGAACTCGGACCGTCTTCCAGATCAGCAATTCGTTGCTTCCTCCTCCTCCTTAGCATGACGAGCCCAACGACTCCCGAAATGAGCAGAATGGGAAGTAAGAGACCCAAGATCAGACCGATGGGAGACCGGATGGCTTTGCTGGAGGCTCGCAGTCTAGCTCCAGCAGCTCCGTCGCTAGAACTACACGAACGTCAGGTCTGCACGGATAGCTGGCTGGTCGAGTGTGCTTACGCCGTTGAGCTCGCCATCTCTGTGGAAATAATCAGCGCTTTGCAGTCGCAGAGACAGGGAGCACTGCCTACCCATGATCGTTCCAGCGACATCCGTAGCAGGTGTCCCTATTGAAGTGGTCGAGACAATTGTCGGCGGCGGCAGAACTGTAACTGATGACACGGCTGTTGGCGAAGGCACGGTTGCCGACGGTGACACCAATGTCGTGAATGACACCGCTGTCGGCGATTGTATGGTTGCCGGCGATGAAGCGATTGTCACTGGAGGAATGGAGGTGGGACTGGAACGCGGAAGCATGAGACAGTACATTAGAAGAACGAACGCGAAGCGGATACCTCGTGGGTTGCGTCGCAGTCAGTGTGATCGAAAGAGGTGCGACCACCGCAAAGGTGGGAGCCGTTGGAATCGGTGACCCAACACTGCTCAGACTGCGGGTAATTTTTGTGCCATCAGTTGTAGCGGTCGTAGTTTGTACGATTCTGGTGGTAGTGAGAGAGCTCGAGATCTGAGTGACAGCACTAGACACAACAGAGCTCGACGTAGGTGGAGTCGGAGTTGGAAAAGACAGGCTGGTAGCGCTGGATGATGTGTCCACACTCAACGTGGATTGCGGCGAAGCGTCTGAACTACTGCTGGAACTTGCTTGCGATATAGTTGGAGTGACCGTCGTGGATGTCGCCGACGAGATGGTCGTGGTTGTGGAAGACACCGTCGTAGACGTTAATGCCACTGCAGAGTCAGGGGTGGTCTGGTTTTGCACAAGCCGAGAGACCAAGAGCGTTTTCAGAGCACAACCGTCAGCTGTGTGAACGTTTTGTCAGAAACGCAAGAGATTCTTATGAATAGCGTACCACTAGGTTGAATCGTCAAAAGTTTCGAGAGCGCTGTAGCTCCAGTCGAATCTTGCACTTGTGCGACAACCGTGGCTCCTGAATAGGTTTCAGATGGCGTTCATCGCCAAATATCGAGAGAACGCACCGGCAGCGACGTCGACATTCCACGAGAACTGCGGGTCTTGAATGGCCCCCAAGTTTTCCACCAGACTAGAGTCATTCGCTCGGAGAATGCTGTGATAGATCATCAGGTTCGCCATCGCGCCCATTCAATTGCAGCTAACACACCTCTGCGCCACGGTCAGTCAAAGCCGGCAGGAGATCTTCCAGAAGCGCGTACCAGGGTCCACGGCGCTGTTGGAGGCGGATGGTTCTGAGATCAGGATTTGTCTCATCGAAGACGTTTTCATCGTACCGAGTCCTCCCTGCCACTGTAAAGCGAAGGAGCCGCAAGTCAAAGCCGGCTTTGCGCTGGATGAGGGACATCGTCAGCTCAAGGAGGACACTCCAGCCCGGCGCACGCACAAATCCTCAAAAAGAATAGCAAAAGAAGAAGGGGGGAGAGAAGAAAGAAAGAATGCCAGAACACCTAGCCCGCGGTGTATTCTGGCCACCATGACAGAATGAAGAAAGAAAAGGGGAGGGGTTCCCGACAAAGGTGGGGAGAGAAGTGAGCATCTTCACACGCCGTCCGCTCCGTACTTGTATGACTGCAACTTGCGAAGATGATCAGTACGCACAGAGTCTGGGCACCGGGCTGTTTCTGATGTGCGTCGTCGCTGGTTTGTAGTGGGAGTAGCGAGCTTCATTTATGATCATCGTTTGAGGTGGTTATGTTCCCTCCCCAGGTGAGGTCCGATGGTAACCTGTTGCTGGACATGGCCACGGTGAGAGCATCGGCATCTTCGGTGTGTCAACGTGTAGATCAGACCAAAACAAGTTATTCAACAATCTTCAACCGTTGCCAGCGTCATTGTTCATCAGCCGGACATGATGAAGACCTGTTATGGGTGTGAAAGACGTGAATCCAAAGTGGCGAGTTCCGAAAGAGCGTGCGGCGTGAGTGCTCTGCGAGTGGCATGGTAAGCCGGTCCAACAAGCAATCACTTCCCAGAAAGGAAATAAACCTGCTTGCCACTTGCCGTGACGTGCTCGCCACCGTGGAAGAACCGGCCCCGAGATGAGTGGCCAACGACCGCTCTCGACTCTGTCCACGTCCATGAAACGAGATTCTCTCACAGCGGAGCTCGAACGGGGTGAGCAGACTTCGACGCCTCTCCGATCCATTCTGAGGTTGTTGCCCGAATTCTGACCAGCTTCTTGACCTTCCCTCCCCTTGCATGTAGACCCACAAACATCCTCGGCCAAGCGACAACAACGGACACAAGCATTCACGTCCAACATGGCATATGCGTCCTTGGAACGTCAACTATCGTCCGCGCAGACGAGCAAACTGGAGCTGGAGAAGAGATTGCGGGACAAGGAGCTGCAGATCGAGAAGCTGGAGCGCGATCGAAGATGGCTCGCTGACCGGGAGCAGGAGGAGCGAGAAGAAAAGGAGCGAGAACGCGTCGACTTCCAAGAGCAATTGGTGCGCGCGTCCCTGTGGGCCCCGGTTTCTGATTCCATGTCCGACCGTCTGCGTAGACTGGCAAGGACGGGGAACTGCGTACCCTCAGGTTCTCACTGACAGCGCTCCGAGAAGAGCTTGCCGAACTGCAAGACACGCACACCTCACTCTCTCGAAGCACGTCTCAAACCATCGCGTCTCAAAAGTCGCAGATCACAACTCTCAGCCGGCAGGCCACCGTTCTCGAAGCAGAGGTTGGGCAGTTCAAGCTGCTTGCGGAAGAACGCAGCCAGACCATCGACGAGATCCAAGGGCAGCTGAACGAGCTCAGCCAAAACAACATCATCCCCGTGAACAGCGACAGCGACGATATGGCCATTGTCAGGCAGGAACTTCACCGCCAAGCCGAATATCTGCGCAAGCTGGAGGCAACAAACGCCAAGCTTTCAGCGGAAGTTGCGTTGTGGCGAGACCGGCATACGAGCATCGAGGTGCTCCGGGAAGAGAAACGGAGTCTGGAGAGGAAACTTCAGCCTATGGAAGGTCTGCGAGAGCAGGTGGCCCGGCTTGAGGCACAGCTCGAAGCTGCGAAACAGGAGCGGTCAGTGTTTGTATCCTTCTGGGACTTGTTAATCTCTCAATCCCACTATAGGGCCCCCGAGAAAATTCCCACGGCGTCAGAGACAAGCGCACTGTCAATACTTCGTTTGCAGCACGCCCGGTTGCTTGAAGATCATGGTGTCACCACAGCACACCTACGTGCCAAGGAAACCGAGCTGAAGGACGCGGAGCATCGTGTAACGGAAGCACAAACTGCCATCGAAAGGCTCGAAGCGGATGTTAGTCTACTGAAAGACACTACTCGGCGAGCAGAACAGCAGGTTCGGCTAGCAGAACGAGAGGTTGGCTTCATGAAAGCTTTATTGGTTGGTTTTATTTCATCTCTCGTCGGTAGATGTCCCAGTTTTGACAGCCGCATAGTCCAGCTATTCTCTTGAGGAGACTAATAAAGAAGGCCATTCGATCGATACTGTGCGAGCAGAGCAGGTCCAGCATTTGGAGGCCCTCTTGGCTGAATACAAGACCGCAAACACAGCTCTTTCGCAGCAACTCAATGAGATCGGCGAAAGAGAACCTGCGGCGGAGACACTGGCTCGACAACAGGAGTTGGAGACAGAACAAGCTCTGCGTGCAGAGGCCGAGAAAGGTGCCTTGCTTCGTCATGTCACCACATCTTCAATTCTCACACAGATTTGCAGCTCTTGAGACAATCACTGCTGAGATGCAAACACACTTGGACAAGATCGAGGAGCTCGAGCAAGAGTTGTTTGATCTGAGTGGGGAGATCGCCGGGGGGAGGCATGTTCCGCCTGGAATTCGCATTCTGTCATTCAAGGATACGCCCGATTTACCTTTGCGGGACAGTCCGATGGCGCGACAAGCGGAGTTGGAGCGAGTTCAGAAAGAGAATGCTGCATTGCTTCAGCAGATTGAGACTAGCGGGACAGCATCGCAGGGGTCTATCCCGAACGAGAGCTGGGTCGCTGTGTGCAAAGAGCGGGACGAGTTGACGTCCGAGGTCAAACAGAAGGAGAAACGGCTGAAGCGCCTCCAGGAGGTGCGTCCCATCTCCGGGCTTCGAAAGAATGTTCGTCGTTCTAAACCACGCTGGTCAGATTTTCGCTGCCAAGGCGCACGAGTTCCGCGAATCGATTGCCTCGCTTCTCGGTGTCAAGCTTGCTTTCTTTCAAAATGGACAGGTCCGGGTGACATCGCTGTACGACGAGTCAGCGACGTTTGTTTTCAAGCCGGCTGAGGGGGCGTCGTCGAGCGGGAACATGCAGTTGATTGCCCAGGGCGAAGGCGGCCCGGAGGATCTACCGAACATGATGCAATACTGGGTAGGGACCGAGCAGTGCATCCCCGGCTTCCTCTCGAGCGTCACTCTAGAACTGTACGATCGGTGGAAGAAAGAACATCCGTAGCATCTTATATCTCGGTACGTGGCCAGCTCCTCTGAAGTGCAGACATCTCACGATTAGCAGTGCATACACCAATGATCATGTTTAGCTAGCATTCATGAGAAGCATTGGAGCACATTCCCGACGAGTGTGAGCAGCCTCGACCTATTGATAGAGAGCCCGGACGAGAATCCGCGGGTTTATTTCCTGACGCACCGATGCTTCAGCACGAACGAGATGAGATTAACATCGACGAGATAACTCATGACGAAAGAGAAGCATCTCTAACAGCACTGGAATGAAGTTACTGCCTGATGATTGGTTCCCTCCCAAGTGCCGGCGCTGGGGCGAGCGTACAGCCTCGACGATGACCGATACGGGGTTCGGCCAGACATGATTCACTGACGAGAATTGAGGCCAAGTAGGCTTTGAGAGTACCAGTCAGTCTGATGAAGATCATGTCCCGCCTTTTGGGGCCACACACATATCCGTGCGCGGTGTCGAGGATCTTGAGATCGAGCGCACAGGCCCGTGATAGATTTTCTGCAATCACGTTGAATGCGAAAACATTTACACGCATCTTTACATTGGCTACAGTCGCAACATCGATATACTTTACGCGCTACCCGGTTCCTTGAATTTCTTGCCTGAGTATTGAATCAAAGCTTTCCGTTGAGGGATGGAGATAGGGGAGAAGCGTTAGTCAGCCCAGGGACATCTTGAAGCCAGGGCAAAGTGCGTTTGATGTTTTTCGCGTCACCAGATGTGGGCGCTGGGGCAGCAGCAGTAGGCGAGTTGTCTGTAGTGGGCGTAGTCTTGACAGAATCCTGGGGCGGAATCTCATTGGGACTGGGAGGCGGGCCATTGGCGTGGTAGTCTGCGTTGTGGATTTGTCGTTTGAGATCCTGAATGATGGGAAGAAGCTCCGTTTCGCCGCGAGTGGGACTATTGACCGCAGCGGCCGGCAAGATGGCGTCTCCAACTCTAGGAGCTATTTCAAGCGCTTCTGAGGGTGAGGTAGCAGCGGGAAAAGCGTGGACGTTATTCATGCAGCTAGCGAGGACAAGGGTGACGAGGGAGTATGTGTGCATAGTGTGGTTGCGAAGAGAGAACGGATGTTCAAGAGGATAGGTGTGTTTGACGGGAGTTTGAGGAGAAGATTGCTGGAGTCTGATTCGGTGGAATTGGTAGCGCGTTCTTGGAACGGGCACTGAGCGGGATAGAGGTAGAGGACAAAGTTGACAACGGAAACGCAGTGTTGCTCCTTATTTGTATCATTACTTGTACCTGCTGCCATGGACCCAACCGCCGGTCCATCCATGGGGGTGCCTGTGGGCCCGTTAGGCGTCGGCTCTATGGGTCATATGAACTATTACCCGCCAACCAACTCTCCAGCGCCTCCGAACTATCCATACCCGCAATACCCTTACACTCCATCGCCTCCTCCCCAAATGCCCTCTCCCCGAATGAACGGCCGTGGGGGCTATCCTCCCCGTGGAGGCGCGTATCAGCATCCTAGCTACCGTCAGCCGTACCCGGGACAACCATATCCCAACCACCTCCAGCCAAAATATCCGCCGTATCAGCACCACCACCACCAGCAGTATACGTACACGCCGCCCTCACCACACCACGCACCATGGCATCATTTGCCCCCTCAGCCACTGTCACCCGTACCCAAAAACGCTGCTACTGCGCCCGTCGCACCGACCACGCCTGCTTGCTACATCCCCGACCAAAATTCGAGCATTAGTCATGCTCAGACGACCATGGCTCACCTTGACGTCCCAGAACAGCCACCGGCGTCTACGGCTCCGATTTCGAGCCCCAGTACTATCGCACCGGTCCTGCCTCCAGCCCCCGAGCCTTCCTCCTTGGATCCGGCCCCATCGCCCTCCGACAACACTGCGCCGGCATCTGACTCACCATCTGATCCTTCGGAACGCGACTTGACCCCATCTTCCAACTCGACCTCCGCTCGTCCATCTCGAGCTGGTGGATGGGCGATCTGGTCTCGCCGACCGCTCAATCCAGCCCATGCCCCGGGGATCATCATCTCACCGCGAGCCCGCCCACCCCCGGATATCGTTGAGAGTGCCTTGGACGAGCGCACTCCACCTGCGTCGCCTGTTATCCTTCCCGTCGCAGAAAAGGAGGTGCTTCCGGTACTGGAAAGCCTGGAGATCGAGGAAACACCTTCATCTACGGGGACGGAGACCGATGTGACTGATGCAGAGGAAGAGCGATCCCGGACACCCACTACCGCGGCGACGACTATGTCCAGTTCTCCGGCATCGATGAAGCCTGTGTCGCCACCGGAGGAAGAGGTCAGCGCGGTACCATCTGCTCCGTCGTCTGGCGTGAAAAAGTCGTGGGCATCGTTATTCGTGGCCAATTCAGCGGCATCTCAGTCATCTTCATCTTCGACTCCCGCGCGAAGCAAGCTCCCCACATCCTCTGTGGTAGGCTTCTCCGTTCCAGCGACGCCATCTGCGAAAGAGGAGAAGAGAAAAGCAGACAATGCTGCTCTCATGGCACTGCTGTCTGGCACTGAAGCCGCTGCCGCCCCGGTGTCCTATGCTACGGCGTCTACAGCAACTGCCAAGGAAAAGCTGATCCCTCGCGGTCTGGTGAACACGGGGAATATGTGTTTCGCAAATGCTGTGCTGCAGGTTCTCCTGCGGTGCGAGCCATTTGTGCGATTTTTCTCACGCTTGCAGGCCCTCGCCGGAGAGGATGAGGACGGCTGGCTGGAGCCTGCCCCATTGGTGCGTGCCACCGGCGCTTTCATGAAGAAATTCATCCGGCCAGTGGTGGCCCCTTCGGCTGGGAAGGGAAAGGCGCGTGCCGAGGATGAGGATGACTTCGAGGACGCGTTCATTCCCACTGAAATCTATGATGCGCTCAAGGATAAGAAGCGTTTCGATGGGATGCGGGTCAGTGGGTCAGTTGATCTTCTCGTGTTCATGCTCACTTGTCACAGGGCGGACATCAAGAAGACGCTGAAGAGTTCCTCGGGTTCTTCCTTGACACGCTTGAAGAAGAGCTTCTTGCGGTGGCAGGCTCGAGCATGAAACGAGCCGATGTGGTGGAAGAACATGTCGAGGAAGATGCTGTTGGAGATGGATGGATGGAGGTCGGCAAGAAGAATAGGACAGTGGTGACCAGAACGGCGAGTTGTCGGGATCACTCGTATAGATTGATCTCTCTGACCCGCATCACAGATCAAATCGGAGGACTCTCCAATCAGTCGAATATTCGGAGGCAAATTCAGGTCCACATTGAGGGCACCGAGTCAGCGGGACTCGGTGATCGTGGAGGACTGGAGGTCGCTCAGAATAGATATACAGGTGAGCAGTATGCACCGTTACGGACGTTGTCTTGAGTTTGTCCACAGCGCGAGGGGATCCAAACGATCGAAGACGCGCTGGCCTTTTTATCACATCCGCAATCGATACAAATGGCGCATCCGACGAGGCCAGGGACAGTGCTGGAAGCGAGCCAGCAGGTGCTCATCGACTCGTTGCCTCCGATCCTCGTCCTGCACATGAAGAGATTTTGCTATGATGCGGCGGAAGGCGCAGTGATCAAAGTGGGAAAGCAAATCGTGTTTTCCCCAGAGCTTGAGCTCGGGAACGGTCAGTGCCTCCCTTTTCACATTCGGATGCGCATTGAAGAGTACGCATTTGTAGATCTTATGGCAGCCAAGAGCAAGCCCGCTCGCTACAGGCTGTTTGGAGGTGCGTTGTTTACTTGATCAGCATAGTCCGAATCTCTCACACACGCTCCCGAAGCCATCTACCATCACGGTCTATCTGCTGGCGGAGGCCACTACACATTGGACGTGCTGCACGGCGAGGGCTGGGTCCGAATCGATGACGAGCTCGTTTCGGACGTGCGGCCTGCTGATGTGTTTGGCGCCGCCAACTTCAAGGAGGAGACTAGATGCGCGTATTTGTTGTTCTATCGCCGTATCAGGTAGATGTGGTATCAACCCAGGTAGACGTGGTATCAGCCGCGAGGCTTGTTGAGGAGGGTATGCTCGTCTTGATGTTCAGGGCGACGTATGGCGGCGAGGCATCTCCTAAGCTTCTCCGGGGTGTCTCTCATGGTGCATTGACTATGGATGGCCCATTCGAATGATCCACATTGAAGTGCAACGGATGGCTCTGAGAGAGGGAGTCCCCTGATCCAGATGTTCATGATCTCAAGAAACAGATTCAGACCTGCGAACAACGTGCCAGTACTTGGATCTATATATCATTCATGCTTTGGCAATGTTACTGCATCCGCGTGTGACCATAATGACACCCGCGCGTCCTACTTGTTACTTACGCGCATTGGGTTCTTGCAAGGGGACGTCTGTGCCGGCCATAGGAATGTAGTTGGAAAGCTAGACGTTTAGAACATCTTCCTGTAGTACCCTGTCCATATCCTCCACCCCAGTTTCCAATCCCGGACCCCGAGCGCTGGCTTAAACGCGTCAAAGTTCTCCTTCTCCAGTTGCGCCAGGAAGTTGGCAACGGGCACCCCGGCCAAAAACACAGGCATAGCAGCCTCCGGGATCTTGCCACCCGGCGCGTCTTTGAACATATCCCGCGCGGTGAGCAGGTGGTCGTTCGCCAGGACCGCGACGTCGTATACGGCCGCGTCGATCCCGCCGGCGGTGCCTCCGTGTCGGAAGACATCCTCCTGCTGGACGTTGTGGCGGGCACAGATATCGAGCGGAAGGGGAAGCCGCCGGTGGGCGGCATGGAACGGAAGGCCCCGGAGTAGCGTTGCGAGTGTCTGTGCCACTCCGAGGTGCGAGGCGGCGTGCGCCAGCGACTCGGAGGCGCCAAGCCCCCGCAGAGCCAGGAGCGCGTAGAGGAGATTGGACGAAACGCCCTCTGCATGCGTCACCAGGGCGTCTGTCGTCGGGTATGAGCTGGTTTTCAGCTCCTCGTCCTGCGGGTGTGAGACCTCGGTGAGGGACGGGAGCAGTAAGACACACCCGAGCATCGATGATTCGTTTCAAGTAGTACGCAGGTACGTTAGCCGCCTTGGCCGTTTTATGCAATGATAGGGCAATGGGATGCCGGGGCGGTCTGTCCTGGCATACACTACTCTAAGTATCTTGGCGCATGTGTTCGTAAGGACCTTGACACGCACCGCGTATATGTCGCGTACCGCATCGCGCCAGAACTGCATCCTCATCGCACCAAGCGTCGCCGCGCTGACATTATCCTGTACCATAGCGAGCTCGGTCTATGTCGTAGTTCAGCACCAGCTCGAGGTCTCCCGAACGCGGTCTATTGTGCACACCGAGAAAGCTTTGAGCGCGAAATAGCCGTCCTGCAACGAAGCAGGCCAGAATTTGCTGACCATGAAGGATTCATAGTCGTGTTTTTTCACCAGCTGTCTACAATGGGATGCTGGGTCTATCGGGGGCGCGGCGGTAGAATGGGCGCGTGCGAGCTCACGCCGTAAGACGCGTGACGCCGATGAGAGCATGAGCAGAAGAGTTTTGATGCGGAGGATCTACGTTGTCTCTTACCGGCACCCGTCAATGATAGTTATGCACGAACATCTTGCAGTTTTCTTATCAGGAACATCGAGTCCACGCGCTTCAGATACACCGATCTCCCGTGCTACTACATTCAATGCAGCTCCGAACGACTCGCTCGATGCACAGAGTGCGATGAATATCAACTCAGAATGACGGACACTTCTTGCCGATAAGAGCCAGGCTCATCAGACATGGGGGGTTCTCAATTGAGATAAACCCGGTCAAGAGGCTCCAAACAGACTTCTCAAGTTCCCCGCCACTCTTGGACGTCGCACACCATGTCCAGATTGCCTCAGCCAGTGCATCCCGTCCCGAACGTCGAGCCGACCCTGGGAGACGAGGATACTAAGGACCTGGAGTGTCCTGGGGAAGATCTACCTGCCGTCGGAAAGCGCCCGTTGTTCGTGTCTTCGATCAGCAAGGACGAGCCGGTCGTGACACGGAGGGAACTCTGGAGCTACTATCGTGCGTACTGACGCATCCTGCACTGGTGAACACTCCCTGAAACCCACACCGCAGTCTACTACAACGGTGACAATGTATCTCTCACCGCGCCAACCAGTGATCACAATTTTTGACCTACACCCCAGGGTGTCGGCCCGAACGGCTACTCGATGACGCTGTTCCAGTCGCTTGCGTTCGCCGCTGGCTATGATCCCATTGCTGGGCCCGGCTCGTCCTGCTCGGCAGCCAACGCGTCCGGCCAATGCGTCGTGCCCTGGGGCCGCGGCCATAAGAGCGTAACGAGCGTCGTGCTGGTAGCGAACGGCGTTAGCTTCGCGGTGAGTTGCGTTCGCAATCCCTTCAAGCTCATCTCGATGTGAATAGATTATGACGTTGATCTTCACGACTATCGGGAGTGCGGCTGACTACGGAACTTTTGGGCGCTGGCTGCTTCTTGCGGTCACGGTCGTCTGTTGGGGCGCACAGTTTGGAAGCATGGCTTTGACCAGTACGCCCCTTGCATTTCTTTCTGCACGATCACTGATCCCGAGAGCAGAACCGTCTCGTTGGGGGGCTGCGATGGCCTTATATATGATCGGATTCATCTCATACGGCGCGACACTGGTCTTTTATGCAGCGCTGTTCCCTCGCCTGGCCAGAAACACGGCCCACGCAAGCGAAATCAGAACCCAATACGAAGCTGAGAAGATATCGAAGGAAGAGTACGAGAAAGAGGAGAGCTTGGAGAAGAATCTCATCAGCAACATCAGCACCGTGCGTTGTGCTCTTCCCTCTCTTGCGCTTGGCTCACGAGAATGGACCCAGGCTCACAGCAATATCGGATACATTGCTACCCTCTGTCTGAATCTGTCTATCTTGCTCCCTTTGAGCTCTAACGCACTCGTCGACAACTACACGATCGTCTTGTGAGTATGTCCTGTCAGATGCAATTCTAGGTTGCTGATACAGCAACAGAACTAATATGTATTGGGTCCTTACCGGTGTCTGGTGGTGTAAGCCATCGCGAAACCCGTCAACGTCGTCTAAACTCTGTAGTCATCTTTCAGGAACCGCGTCCCGGCCCTCCGCTGCCGAAAGGAGAACACTACATCACGATCGGCTGGAAACAGGTTGGTGGGGGGTTTCCTATCTTGCTATGGGCTGGACGAGTACGCAGATCTGGGCAGCATGCAAACAGTACAAACAGCTTCCGTACACTTTCATCTACTTGTTCGCGTTCTTCCTCCTGGCCGATGTGAGTGTGCACTAGAACGTTGACTTTGGAGATTGACTGTATATACCGTACCATATCAGGGCCTCAACACGACCGGAACCCTAGTTTCGATATGCCAAAACGACAAGTTCTCCTTTAGCTTCTTGCAGAACACGTATCTGGGCCTGTCGCAAGGTCAGTAAGGACTCTTTCTCGTTCGGACCTCGCCTGATAGGCTCGCCAGCCATCACTTCGACTGCGAGCACATTTGGATTCTGGTACATCCAGAGGTACTGGAAGATCTCGACGAAGCGGATGGTCAGTCGACCCGCACCTCATCGCCCTTTCTCGGCGGCTGATTCTCCCTGCTAGTTTGTCGTCACGAACTGTTTCACGATCATGATTCCGCTTTGGGGTGCGTTTCGTGGCTCTACGTTTGAGTGAAATGTCCATTCACGCCGGCCCAGGTATGATCGGGATCTGGACCCAGAAGCTTGGGTGAGCAAGATTGTCATATCACCGCTCAGTGGAGCTCATATGTTGACCCAGTTTCCATAACAAGTGGGAGTTTTGGTGAATGCCGACGCCACCTTTTCGGCGTGTACTCGCTGATAATCTTCCAGGGCATACAATGTCGTTTTCGGCCTCTTCCAAGCGCCGTACTACGCGTTCTCCCAGACGATGATGGCTGAGTTGACACCGCCCGGCTTTGACAACATGGTAAGCACTCGGGCAATGCATTCATTCACTGTGCAGTTTGGTCGACTGGACTCACCCGGGGCAGTTCTTCGGACTCTTTGGTCTCTCGAACCGCGCCAGCTCGATGATCGGACCGAACGTGATCCAGGCCATCATTGACTCTTCTGGGAACAACTGGATGGGTGTGTCCGATTCCGGTTCTAATACATTTGCCGTTTGCTATTCTTACACGGAATGCACAGGCTTTCCATTCTTGTTCGCACTGTGCGCTTGCGCGTCGCTGGTCATCTGGTTCGCAGTAGATGTGGAGAAAGGCCGCAGAGATGCTGTGGCCTGGGCGGAATCGATCAGGGAAGATGCAACTGCAAGGATCCAGTAGCATCTTCCGTATTAGGCTCGCTTCCGCCCATTAGTGGTTTCAGCAGAGTCTCCTATAAGTATTCAGAGTCATCTACTATGGAGGCTGGAATTGATATATGGAGAACCGCTCAGAGTTTCAAATTTGACAGTTGCAACAGGCGATAGCTGTGATCTCTGATGATTACTATTGATCACAACGGTCCGGACAGACGGCAACGGTCCAGATAATCGAGTTGCACTCTCTTATTTCGCGACTTGTTGCCTAGGAATTTGCTTCAACTCACTACTGTACATGTAAACTCAATGTATGAGAAGTGGCTACGGAATCCATGCAGAAGACTGAGTGAACAAGACTTGCCAGTGCATTAATTCAATTTGTTTTGCAACCTACTGTCAGGCTCAAGCTTGAACAACATTATATCCAACGACCGCTGACTAGTGACTGGTGACTTTTGAATCTATGAACAAAGAATATCCTTGACAGTCTTCCACTGGTGTCCTGCCCACAACGCGTTCCCGCTCTTGGAGGCCTCCTCATCGGACAAACCTTGGACTCCGTGGCCAGTGGTAGCCAGACCGTTGTCGGCGATGCCCATCAAGAACGCTTTGAAGCTGGGCATCTCCCCTCCCATCGTCTCAACTGTCTCAACTTCTGCATTGAGAAGGGGGCCGAGGGATCGAAAGCCCGAGATGCGGTCGCCTTCAATACGCAGGATCTGGTTCTCGAGGGCAGAGGTAGTTTGGTGGGTGAGGATATGGGCAACATAGCCTTCGGGAAGCTTGTAAGCGTTGTATACACAAGTGATAATCTTGGGATGTCGCACCTGCAACATCTCTGATGGATGTGGTGGAGACAATGCCCGACGATTTACCAATCACATACAGCTTCTTCGCCGCAGGGTCGAAATTCACAACCCAAGTTAAGAACTCGGTGAACACCCCGTTTGTAGCGGGAACGTCCCGTTACAGAGGTCATGTGATTTATCTCTCAGACTGAGTCCTCGATCGGCTGGCTTTGACCGCCGATCACCCTATATAAGTAGATAGCTCCTGTTTTTCCCTTTTTCCTTAGTCAATCTAGTGCTTATCCCTCTCACTGTCGTCTCCCCCCTCCTCCTTGTAGCGGAACTCATCTCGGTCTAGACGCTTCCGTTACATATTTTTGAGAGCTCCACCTGCTAGATTCGTCGCTGCGCCGAACCTTCCCTCCCTCGAACTGGCGCTCGACGACTGACTACCCCTGAACCCAAATGATGTCTGGCGGCATGCACCACCGATTCCACCCAAAGTCCCGACGCGGGCACCCAGACCTCTGTTGAGCACTGGGGAGAGCGTCTAGCAGCTCACCTGTGTGAGTGAGAGCTTAGTGTGGGCACTATGCGGGAGTAGTCAAGAGACTTGTATTAAAGGGTAATAGAGCCCTCCTTATATATGATACAGGGGGCCGTTTGTGTCTATTTGGGACGAGTCGATATGACTCTAGATGACACGTGATGGAGTCATAGATATGTATCATGACATCCATCTTGACAGATGATATTTGATCAACACTCCCCCACGCTGAAAACCACGGGATAGTGTTTGAAAGCGAATCTTCATCGGCCATTCCTTCAGGACGAGTTGAACTCAAGTCCTAGTTGAGATCTGAACTTCTCGAACTTGACGCGTCCTAGGTTCTTGGTGAACATATCTGCAGGATTCTCACTGCCCGGAATAAAGAACAGTTCAACCTCTTCTTCCTCGACTCGCTCACGAATGTAGTGATAGCGGATGTCTATGTGTTTCATCCTGCGGTCTCGGTAGGCATTGCTGCCACTGAAGAGTGCACCCTGATTGTCACCGCAAATGGGTACTGGGATGGTGAGTTTGAACTGGAGTTCCGAAAGGACGCTCTTCAGCCACATCACCTGGCGACTACAATCTGAAATTGCCATGTACTCTGCTTCGGTCGAAGACTGCGCGACTGTGCGCTGAAGTCTAGACTGCCAGCAAATAATCCCGTCTGCCAATTTCGTGAAGAAACCAGTGGTAGACCTCCTCTTGATCGGATCAGCAGCCCAGTCTGAATCGCTAAATGCAATTAGCCCTCTATCCGTCGCACCATTGAAAATGAGCGAATAATTCCTAGTACCAGCCAAATAGCGACAGATATACAGCGCTTTATGGAGGTGGTCTTGGGACGGATTGGCAGCAAATTGTGACAATTTGGTCACAGCAAATGCAATGTCAGGACGTGTGCCTAGCATGATGAAGAGAAGAGATCCAATGACTGATTGGAATTTCTTCCTGAGCTCTGGATTGACTTCATCCTCATTTGGCATTGGAACATATCCAGCCGGTAGAGGGGTCGCTGCGAACTTGGCGTTCTGCATCCCAAAGCGCTCTAGCACCTTGTCGAGATAAGGAATCTGATCAATCTTGATCGAAGATCCTACTCTACTGAGGCGCACGCGCAAGAACTCTGGAGTATCTTCAGAATTGCGGCATTCCCATCGCTTGTTGAACTCAGCCTTGAGAAAGGCGAGGAGCTTCTTGTTCTTGGAGAAGAACAGTGCATCATCCACATAGACTATTATGACGGCTATGCTGCCATCAGAGTCCTTGTAGAAGAACACGCCGGCATCCGATGTAAGTTGGATCCAGCCCATGGCTTTCGTGGACTTGGTCAGCGCTTTCCACCATGCTAAAGCAGCTTGTTTGAGTCCATAGATTGCCTTGTGCAAGCGCATGACTTTGCGCTCTTGGCCTCTCGCCACAAAGCCTTCGGGTTGTTCCATGTAGACCTCTTCGTCAAGTTCTCCGTAGAGAAAAGCCTTACTGACGTCGAGTCCAGACCAATGCCAATCATTGAGCGCTGCAAGCGCCATGACCAACCAGAACGTCTCATACCTGACAACAGGAGAGAATATCTCGTCATAGTCAACTCCTTCGACTTGACTGAAACCCTTGGCAACTAGGCGGGCACGTTTTCGGCCATCAGATTTTTGGTCAAAGACCCAGCGACATCTGATAACCTTCCGTCCTTTCGGGCGGTCCACAAGGGAATAGACCTTGCGCTGACGAAGTGCCTCTAACTCGTCGCGACAAGCATCAATCCAACCTTTCTGTTGTTCAGAAGGCAACCGCTTGATATCGCGGAACGTCCAATCGCGAATTTTGGACGTATCAGGTAGGTTCTCATTTGGAACCGCTTTTGACAGCAGCGCCGTGATGAGCTCTACTCCCCCTTCCCGGCATAGCTTCTCCATGCGTGCATCCTTGTCTAGATCATCAGAAGCACCCGCGTTTGAGGAATCTGGTTGCGAGCTAGGGCCGGGAACCCCTGCATCAGCGCCGGTTGATCGTTGAGATTGGGAGCTACCCTTATCTTCACCAACATACCGCTTCCATCCTCTGCTGTTCTGAATGTCACGGACTATATCCGTAGGGGTACGCTTTTCCCCATAGACGTTTCCTGGACGTGTAGGCACATTCCGCTGGCGTGAAGACCTTCGAGGCTCAGGAGCTGGTGAAGCTTCCCGACTTGGTCGTGGAATTCTACTTCTACGAGTCCTCTGAGGTTCATCCCGACGCTCTGGCGGTGGGTCCTGACGATTATGACCGTCGTCACCATCATCATTTCCCTGTACGGGAGGTGGTGGAGCCGGATCAGATGGCATGGGAAATGGAAAAGGATTATCTCCATATAGCCAATCTTCTCCGTCTACCTGTGGTGGATCTTGTGGATTCACTGGGTCATCACGTTCTGGAAATTCCTCTCCAACAGGAACGTGGGGTGGTCGATTGCTGTCAGGACAGCGGGGGAACAACTCCTCGTCGAACAATGCCTTGGTGGCGACGAACGTGGAATTGTTTGTGCGCATGAACAAAAATCCTTTCACACCATCAGGAATGCCCAAGTAGGTCATCAGCTCCGATTTGGGCGATAACTTGTTGGCGCGCTTCTCATCAGGGATAAAGACATATGCAGCGCAACCAAAGACTCGGAGTTCGGAAACATCCGGTTTTTCCTTGTGAAGAGTTTCAAATGGAGTTTTCCATTTTAGACGCCTGATAGGTGTCATATTGTAGATCCGTGTCGCATGTTTGATAGCGAATTCCCAATAAGAATTAGGAAGACAGGCAGTGAAGCGCATGGCTTCTGCCTTATCCATGATCGTACGATTGAAGCGCTCGGGATGCCCATTCTGCTGGTGAGCATATGGAGCACCCTTCTCCACTAGAATTCCTTGTTCCGCGAGAAATTCTTCCATTCCCATCCCCATGAATTCTCCCCCATTGTCAATATGCCACTTTTTGATGGTGACATTGAACTGGTTCTTGACCATCGCAATGAAATTGCGCATAGCCTGCTTGGCATCGGATTTCTGCGCAAGGCATACTGTCCAGCCATAGGAGAGTGCTTCGTCGAAGAAGCTCATGAAGTAGCGGTACTTGTGATAAGACACCGTGGGAAATTGTTTGAGATCCGAGTGGATCAGATCAAACGGATTCTCTGCTCGTTTTTCGGAAGGCGGGAAGGCACGTTGGTGCATTTTCCCTTGCGCGCATCCTTTACACGGTCGGGTTTCCTCGGGAAATACTAGGTCTTCTGGAAAGCCCTTGGTATTCTTCTTTGCCTGACGTAAAACGTCTTTCGACGGATGTGCAAATCGCCGGTGCATGATCTCATAATCCACCTTGTAAACAGTGGACATGGATCGCACTGTCTCAGCCGTACTAGGCTTTGACATCAGGAAGTACAATGCAATGTCCTTCCCTAGAGTTCTAAACTCCATGATCGAGAGTGGGGACTTCCCTCGATGTAAGCTGATCCGCGATTCGTCTCCACGAACGCGAGATCCTCCTTTGAGTAAGGAGCCCAAAGACATGAGACGACCATGTAATCCTGGCACTAGGTACACTGGATATATCTGAGAAGTCACCATTGTCTTTTCTCCATGCCTTGTGACGTAATGATCGATGAAGGCTGTTCCTCGACCAATAAGGGCAACACGTGTGTTCTTATCAGCGGTCTGAGCAACAATAGGATCTGAGAGCTTCTCATATCCGACCAGATCACTAATCTCCGATGTCACATGGAGAGATGCACCTGAATCAAGAAGCCATAGAGGCCCTAATTCATGATGATGATGTTTCCCCTTACACTTAGAGCAGGCAGCAAAATCGGAGTGCACACAGAATAGATTGGTACAAAAGTCATGCGAACGAATCATCAACGAATTAAGTACAGAACCCGGGGCGGCGGTGATTACGCGCTCTGGCTGTGAGCAACAATCAGAATTGTGCATGTGCCCAAGAAGGCAGGGTACTTGCCTTTCGGCGGAAGGAGCGTCCATCTCCTCCAGAAGGGTGTTGAAGTCGACGACTTCATCCCAATTGACCGGTTCAGCCTGGGCGAACTCGCTATCTCCAAACAGAAGATCAAGATTGTTCTGTTGGCTGGTGGCCATCTCGACGTCGGGGATCTCCTCGATACGACTGCGTTTGGCAGGAGGACCATCATCCAGCGTGTGATTCGAGCCGGAAGCAACCGGAGATGGAGAACGCATGATTGCGTCCTCGCGGAGCATTCCTTTCTCATTGACGATCTTGTCGAGAGTCCGGAAGCGTTCTGCGGTCACCGTCACATCCATCTTTTTGGCCAGCTCGAAGACCTTACGAGTAGGCTTCTGAAACTCGGTGTCAATAATCCCATTGTTGTTAACGGGAGACTTCTCTTGAACCGCGCGGATTTTGGGTCCATCGCAAGAGATGTGCGTGACATGCGAGATCGTCGGCGCAGGGATAGACGGAGTGAGCGAGGCGATCGAACCAATAGTGAGGGAGCCAGTGATCTTGGAGACTCCATGGACATGACTGTGATCAGCCTTGCCCTTGCCCTTGTTGTCCTTGTTCTTCCCACTGCGCTTGCCTCGACGGTTCTTCTTCTTTCCATCAGCCTT